TGTAATATGCTGTTTTTAGGTCCTTTAGGTATAGTCCAAGAAGAGGAATAGCTGAGTCAAATGGTGGTTTCATTCCATTTTCTTCTACCACCAACTGAAGGTTCCTTCCTTTGTAAAAAGGTTCCTCTAGCCCATCACCTACATTTGTTTCCCAACATTTGTTTCTTTAAAGTTGTATAAAAACTTAAGCATACTTGGGAAACATTGTTTTCACAACACCCTTTTAGATTAGAAAAAAAGTCCCCAATATTTACAATCATCTTTATCACACTGATTCAACAGCCATCTTTACAATCTGCCTAGACAGCTATCCAATGTAGGTCTTACTTTTTACTAGATAGCTTCATTCATTTGTGTAATATTTAATTAACTCATATAATTACAATAAAGTAAAAAAATGTTAGTCCGATTTAGAAGCAAATACAACTATCTCTTATTGATACAAAACTAAAATGGTGGGAATAGAGATACACGGATATAATAAAGATAAATGGCTCCCAAAAGGCTTTAATATGCCAAAAGCAACAAGCAGTACGTTTTGTAAGGGAAATGGAAAACATGGGCTCATCTGGCACATCAGTTAAGAGAGATTTCACTATAATACATAGTACTACTTTATCTACCCAAACCTGTGACTGATGACACTGCTCTAAAAGTCAACATGCCTCACTTAGCTTGATAAATATGTACTCAGTTGGATAAATGGAAAAATGGATGGATGCATGCATGGATGGATGGATTCATAGATGCATAAATGGATATCAAGGAAGGGAGGCTGAAGATTTCACTCAGGCCACTCTCAGATGCATATCCTCTGGATCAGAAAACAAGGGGGGCAGAGCAGCTGGGATGATTCTGAAATCACTCTCTGTATACTGGAATTGAACAATTAAGTAAATGGATAACAGATGGCAGGAGCCAGGGTTTTCACTGTTGGAGTAGCAGTTTGCAAACATGGAGCAGAGACTAGAATGATCCTGTGTTAATGGCTTAGAGTTGGAGGCATCAGTTTAGCTTACTATGGATAAAGTCTGGCACATATAGAAATAGTCCCAGATATGTGTATTGCACAGTTACCAGACGCACACATATTTTCCTTACTCTGTCTGCTGAGAAGGCCTAGAAGCAGTGACACCCCAGTGGCAATGAGCAAATCTAAAGTCTTATGTCTTTGTCTCTGATATCATTCTCCAAAAGGAGCAACCAGAGCACCTCAGAGAAGCAGGGAATATGAGATGAGCCTGGAGGATGTTAGATTGCCCAAGGGCAAAGAAGTGCCAACCACAAACACAACCAAAAGAAGCATGGCAGGTATGCCAGGGGAAAGAGAAGCCACCTGAAAGACTCCCAGTGGCAATGTGAATGATAAAAGAAAGTTTAAAAAAAAGAAAAAAAAAAACAGGAAAGAAGAGACAGAACTTCCATGCAAAAGAATTCCAAACAACTCATGAAGATACTCTGCCCTCCAATAAGGAAACCTTAATTCCCTCCTCTCAAGTGTAGGTTGCTCCTAACAACGTCATTCAGAAGATGCGCCATGAAAAGGGAAGAGGAGCAACTTCTCAGGGAAGGAAACTGACCAGTACCCCTTCCTCCAGATGGTCCAGGTGGACATCGATGTGGATGAGTTGGGTTGACAGAGTGCATCTGTGATGTGGGGTGATGTGAGGTGATGTGATGTGGGACTCCTCTTCTGTACTTTTCTTCCCCCAAACGCATAACCCTGGTACAATCAGGAGAAAAATATTGGACAACTCCTTGCAAAATAGCTTATCAGAATCCTCAAAAGCATCAAGGTCATCAAAGACAAGGAAAGTCCTGTCACAACTAAGAGGAGCCCAAAGAGACCTGATAGCTAAATGTAATGTGGTGTCCTAGATGGAACACTGGAATAGGGGGAGAAAAAGACATTAGGTTAAAAACTAAAAAAAAAAAAAAAAATATATCTGAGTAACGTGTGACTTCAGTTAATGATAATGGATCCACATTAGTGCATTAGGTGTGAAAGATGAACCCTACTGGTGTAAGACGTTAATAATAGGGGAAAGGAGGGGTGTAAGAGGCAAAAATCTATTCTTTGCAACTTTCCTATGAATCCAAAGCTATTCTAAAATTTTAAAGTTTAGTTTTAAAAAATCCAACATGGATGATTATTTTTTTTGGCCAATCTATAATATTTACAAAATCAAAAGAATAAAGTCAAGCTTGTTTTCCCAGGTACATGTCAAACCTGGTGGCCCTTTCTCCAGTCTTCAAGAATAACATTTCCTAAGGATTCTGGACATGTTGTTTTGCCAATAAATTAATATTAATTAATTAATTAATTATCTAACTCTTCCTTTTTTCTGCCAACACTCTTTTTTTTTCTTTCTGAGGTAATTAATCTACAAGACCTATGCAAATGCTTAGCCACACATACACAAAAATCATCCTGAAAGACCACAGTGCCGTAACGCATCTTTCTTTGACCTTGACAGGAACAAGAAAAAAAAAAAATCCCTAGATCCTAGTGCAGAGAGAAAGTGGGAAATTTTCCCAGTAAGAAACAAAGAAGAAGCTCCAAGTAGGAAATTGAACTTCCTGTCTCCTGGGTTCCTCTTAGGAGAGCAGGCTTTGGGGGTTTCCTAGAACACTCTCTGCTGCTCTTACCAGGTCCCCTGCTCACACTTACAGCCAGAGATGGAAATGACCAGTCAAGAGGAGGCCGTGCTGGTTGAGGGGGAAGAGGACCCTGACAAGGAAGGGGTAATCCTGGTGGCAAGCACTGCCGACTGGCAGGCCCTTTTCCCGGATGCTAGGAGGTAGATACAAATATTTCTGTTTTGCACAAGGACATAGGAGAAATGTAACCTAAACTTGTCTAGATGGGTGAAAAGAGAGTAAGATTGTAGCTAACCACTCAGTAAACAGAGACTGATAAGAAAAAACAGACCAGGACCTGGACTGGGGCGGGTGAGCATAATTTTACGTGACTCTTCCTTGTTTT